GATAAGTCAGACCTGGGGGGGGGGGGCTGTCAAAATACAGTTTCAATACCACTGTTTTAAAGTATCTACAATTGTGTTGTGAGATTCCTGATGAAAAGTACAATGCAAGTAATTTCAGTTTGTCTCCAGATTGAGAATCTGGTTTTTCAGTTTTTTTTTCTCTTCTTACTGCAGACTTCTAAAGCAGATTTTGGTGGATCCACAGCAGACACTTGTTTTCAAAATTTGGCACAAAGGAGGTAATTCAGCAGCATCATGCTCCCTGCGGTGTGTTTCACACTGAGCTTTCTAGTGAGCCTTATCATCCTGTCTTTCTGCAGATTTGGAGAGGGTGATTGGGTTTGCTTCCATAGACCTCTCACCTCTCCTGGCGGGCTTCCAGTCCGTGTGTGGATGGTACAACATCACAGACTTCAGTGGCCAGTGCCAGGGACAGCTGAAGGTATCCATCTCACCCCTGGAGAATGTTCAGGATCTACGGGGTCAGAGGCAGTTGGCTAAAGAGGATACCCTGAAAGACTCGGCTGTGAGTGTCCAAGCAGTGCAGTGAAAGGAACATGTTTTGGCATGTTTTAGAGGGGCATTTAAGAACTTGGTATAGTATTGCATACTAACATACATGGCCTATTTTTCTGTGGCAGGCCCTGTCTGAGGTGTCGCCATTATACTGCACCTCAGCCATTTACAACGCCTTCCCCACACACATCAGTCGCTACTCTGAGCAGAGGATCAGTACATCCACAGAGCAGCTAGAGGAAATATTCTCTGGAAGGTAAGAATTCTCCTACAGAAGCACTCAATGCTAGAGGGAACTGTGTTTTTTTTTTAGATCTTCTGGTGCAAACAATATTACTTCATTTGCTGTCAATTGAAGTGTTACAGCTGTTGTTTCAGCTATGCCACAGTGTGTCAGTATGTGAAAAAATCTACACTGTATGTGAAGTTAAAAGGGGTATACTGCCCAGCACTGCTCCATTAGGTGGTGACACACCTAGTGGTATCCTGCAGGCCGCAGCTACAGTACGCTTAGATCATTAGCTTTGTGTTCGTGGATCAGGCTTCAAAACAGTTTGACGAAAGTCTCAAAAATACGTCGCTCCGTTCAGGCATGCAACATGATGCACAAATGCATATGTATTCATAAACTGGTTGTACGTTGGAAAATATGTCGCAAAAATATGAACGTACAAATCATCCTGCATTCTTCAAATTAAGATTTATAAGATGCGTGTTGAGAGATATTTGTGTGTGGGTAGTAAAACACATTTGTGTCTGTTACGCATGGATCCTGCTACATGCATTTGTCAGTAACATTGAGACTTATCTCTTCCCATACATATGAATCAACTAATATTGCGATATGATTCTATTCACCTCTGTTACGATGCAGTGTGATTCAATGCAGTGCTATGCATCGTTGGACATGCCTCCAACTCATGCGAGGCTTTGCGGAGAATTTCCCATAGCAGCTCCCTGACCCCCACAAATGATGTGCAGTGTCCTGGACATCTGTCATTCTGCTGTTCAGCGGTGGTAAAATTAGCTGGCAATCTCGCCTCAAATTTTTCCATCACTTTCTAGCCCTGGTCATCAAATTTTGCCTCCCCACTCACCCATACCCCAGTCAGCAATATAGATATACAGTATTACCATAATACCAGCCAAGCACTAGTCAGCACCCCTGCCCTCCCAGATGCACCTCATCTGCATCCCTGAAATCAATATCCCTAAGGTGGGATGTCTGCTACTAATAATTATGTATTAATGCAACCCTGGACGTGTGCTGCTTCCGTCTCGATAACTCCAGTGGGCAGGGCAGGCCTGGGACCCTCCTGTTGTGGCACTCTGCGTTGTATTTTGGTATGTTGGTGATGTCATGTGGCATGGTGAAGGAGGTGCAGGCGCAGGTGTGACTTAAACAAGGTAAAGCTACACACTTGCTTGTAGGCCTATAATATGTTTTACTTAAAGAAAAATAGCAAAGCAAAAAAAAAAACTTTGCAATGTTTTACAGATTCTTCCTCCATTTGACATAAACATAACAAGGAGTTGGTGATTCTTCTCCTTTCACAGACAAAAAAGAGAGCTTGCTTTTGCACACAGCAGCTTAGCATTGAAGCAGATGTGTGATAAAAAAAAATGCCCTCTTGTTGCCTGGAAGCATAATGACCCCCAAAAACATTTACAACACCAGTTGTTCCCTAAATAAATAATACAAAATGAATAAAACAAAATTATTTAACTTACTATTCTACATTAATAGGTCAGATTTTGGAAAGATGTTGGAAACGATGTTACCTGGGTTCATCCCAAATTGTATCCAGTGCACACTTTTTTATTCGGGGCAGACTGATTGTGAACTTTTATGCCGGTGCACAGATGCGAATTGGAGAATATTACCATCCCGATGAGCTAAATTTTGTTGCTATTGGAAATGACAGCATTGTTTTCCCTGGACAACCTTGTCTTTTGGTGCGGCCATCTGAGCCATATTCACCCCACACTCACTAACTTATAGAAAGTCACTAACTCATTTCTAGAAGTACTGTATGGAACACCTGGAAATGTGAAAGTTAATGTGTTTTCACCTGAATACTGTGAGTCCTTGTTGTGATATGTAGGTCTGATAGTATATTTACTCATTTATTGCACATTCTATTTATATGACAATTTGCATAATCTTTCCCCAGCAATAGGTGTATGTTTTATTGTCCCTGTCTGAAAATGCAATATATATTATTTATATTTTTAAAATATTTAAATACAGTAGTCTTCCTGTGTCTGTGGTTTCTATATCCATAGTTTCAATTATCTGTGAACTGGGAAAAAAATTGTAAAATGTGTAATACTTTGTTTTTTCATTGTTCCTACGTCCTTTGATGGGTAGAAAAGGCATAATTTTCATTGCTCAGTTGTCCCTTGATACATATTTTTTTCATTTCTCTACCGTCTCTTGAAAATAAAGGCTAGAACATCATAATCGCTTTCATTCACTGTAAAGTACTGTATAATAATGTACAATGTACTTTGTTATTACTGTAATGGTGGTAATGTTTTAATGTGCATAATTTATCAATTACCATAGGTAAGTACACAAAAATCACATTATATAAGGATTCCGTAGTTTCAGCTATCTGCAGTAGGTCTTAGAACGCTGATACAGTACGACTACTGTATTTATATTCTATTTATTTCTCTTTTGTGCTGTGACCAAAAGTTTCTGTGACATTACAGTAAGTAACAAATACCCTAATGGTATAAACGTAGTTCTGGAAGGGCCACAGACTTTTTTTTTTTTCGTGCGGGCGATGTTAAATCGCGTCTGATATTGGTTGAAAATCAAACACCAGAATTTTTTTTTCAATGCAGGTTTATCGTGCAATATACAGGATGGAAGCCAAAAAAAATTAACTGTTTTATATACAATATATATGCAGGACTAGTTACAATCAACAAGAACAATATTAACAAATCAAAGTATTTTTTACTCTTGGCTCTTTCACTTGTATATCTATTCTTTGTCCAGAAACCAACAAGTAATATTGGCGTACAGGTGACTTACAGGTACAGGTGGCAGGTTGATATAGTTAATCGCTCGCCTTTTCATACATACATGGACACAAACACACACGTATGCACTCAGCTCAGGATTCGATACACTTCATGATGCACAGCTCACGTTTCGATACACTTCACAAAATTTCTAGCAAATGTTAAAGTACAGATATTTTATGGATTCCACTGAAATAAAGGTAGCTGATTACGAGAAAGATCTCGGTGTGTATGTTGATGCTTCCATGTCCCACTCTCGCCAGTGTGGGGAAGCAATAAAAAAGGCCAATAGAATGTTGGGTTATATCTCTAGGTGTGTGGAGTTTAAGTCAAGGGAGGTGATGTTACATTTATATAATTCCTTGGTAAGACCCCACCTGGAATATTGTGTACAGGTTTGGTCACCATACTTTAAGAAGGGTATTGCTGCCTTAGAAAAGGTGCAACGGAGGGCTATGAGAATGATTCCTGGTCTTAGAGGAATGTCTTATGAGGAGAGGTTAGCTGAGCTGAATCTGTTTAGCCTTGAGCAAAGGGGACTAAGGGGGGGGGGACATGATCCAGGTCTATAAGATTCTAACAGGTCTGGATGCTGTTCAGCCAAATGGCTATTTCAATATTAGTTTAAATGCTAGAACTCGTGGCCATAAGTGGAAATTAGTGGGAGAACATTTTCAAACAAATTTGAGGAAGCACTTCTTTACACAGCGTGCAGTTAGAGTATGGAATAGTCTTCCTGCTAGTGTAGCGGAAGCTAAAACCCTGGGTTCCTTTACAACAGAGCTAGATAAGATTTTAACAACTCTGAGCTATTAGTTAAGTTCTCCCCAAATGAGCTTCATGGGCCGAATGGCCCCCTCTCGTTTGTAAATTTCTTATGTCTTGAGCTACCTCCTCTACAATATGATTGGTTATCTCTCTGAACCAATCATTTTTCACTCAGTTCTCAGAACATTTTTGTGTAAGTCAAACTCGCATGAGTAAGTCAAACTCGCATGCAACATAGTCTGACAGTGGAGCTATCATGCCAAATGTCATCCCCTATCCGAATTCGACAAGCATTCAATAAAAGGCGCAGTTGGTGATGTAGTGCAACGCGGCTTAAACACTGTGATGAGTATCAAAACTTAACTGAATCGTGAAATTTCGTAGCATGAAATTTCGTTACACCCCTATGCATACACACACACACAGATGGCTGCTGCTGTCTCTGCCACTGCAGACCCAGGCGATAACTCAAAAACCCTTTGATAGATCTTATCTATGGATTTATAAATACTGTTGTTTTTGATCTGTAGCTGTCTGTTTAAATTAGTATAATCGGATTTGTAACCAGTGGCTGCTTGCTGTCTTTAGGTCCAGCTATGACAACCGCCATAAAGAGCATATCACAAACATCCGTATGTTTCATGAAAGCCTCAGAGCAGGTGAGGGAGTCACACATGACGCTGGTTCTGAAGACTGTCATCCCTCAAGTTCTCTTCTCTTCTCAGCACTCAGGTATGTCCTACAGAAAGAGAATATAATTTCTGCTTTTTTTCTTCTTTGTTTAAATGTGACATTTGTTTTTGTTGTGGTGCACAGGAAAAATCTGAGTGAGCTGGATGATATGCAGAGGTACTTCAGCCACAAAGTCTGCGCGCCCACTTTCCAGAGCCAGTCAGAGCCAGACTACCAGCCCCAAATGCAGAGGTGCAGGGACTCTGAGGGAGAACCAGACCACCTCCTACTTAAGTCAAGCCGACTCATTGGAAAGGTTAACAGCCTAATAACCAGTAAGAGCCTTTTGGATTATCTTTTTTTTCATTGAAATATTTTGTTGCTCTGTAGATAAATAAAAGTAAATAATTAAGCTGTATAACCATATGCGTTCTATGAGCCTTGAAGTATGAATTGTACACATTCCACTGGTTGCCCTGAACTTAAATACATATTCATTTACCAGACAACTCTGGAAATGTTGTGCAGCTTGAGTGCCTGTTTTATTCACTGTTTGTTCTTACTAAACATTAAGCCCTTTTACATTTAAGCACAATGTAGTGGTTTATTATTAAAGGGTTTACTGCATATAGAGAGTTGTGTATTTGATTTTTTTCAAAGTGTCAGCTGAATTGAGATTGGGGTCATTATCTTGTTTCTGTATTTAAAGTCCCATATTTCCTTTACTCTAGATCTACATGGAAGTTGTCCACAGGGATCCCACAGCATTCCTAGAGATCCCATCCTAACTGAAAATCAGTCTCTCCCCGAAGCAGAATCTGAAACTACCCAGGCACTGCCACTCTTGGATGCACCTGAGCACATTGAAGATGAAACCTCCACTTCCCCATCTCCTCTTCTGGAGAGTGATGGACCTGATGATGCCCCTTTGACTGTAGAGAAAGTCCATAGTAATGGTGAGGAAGATGATCAGGCCAGTGTAAGTGAAGAGGTAGAAGAAGAAGAATATGAAGAGACTGTAATTGAACCCAGACAACTAAATGAAATCAGCTCGCTGACGGACAAAACTAGTCCCTGGACAAGCCTTTTATCTGATCCAGATCTCTCTTCCATAAGTAGTCTGGAACTGCCAGAGGAGCAGTCTGGAAAAGACCCGCCACAAGCAGTGCTCAGTGTGGCCCACCAAGAGAATGCCCTAGAGTCCAGCATCCAACAGGGTGGTCGTGAAGAAGAGCTGTCAGCCGTCAAGACCCTTCAGCTAGATCAGCCTTCAGAAAGTGAGGAAACTCATAGCAAATATATGGTGGACAGAAGTGAAGAATTTGAGAAGACCTCAGTGTTGCACATCTCAAAACATCTTATGCACATGACTGATGGCTGTCAACCAGAAACCCAACTGTATCCTCAGTCTTCATTGTGCACATACTTAATATTTAATCCAGTGTCCTATTGTCTGGGATAGCTTTAAGATTTACTGCTTGTGTGTGGTATTCATGGGTTTACCTCTATTTCTTCCTTAACATGACATGCTTAGCCCTGAACCTGGTAAAATCCCAAATTTTTTCCTTACAGCTGAACAAATGGAGACCTCCATGAGAGCATTATGCTTAGCCCCTGTATTTCCATCATCTGACTCTAACACAGTAAGTACTCATTCCAAAGTATTCAGTTGTGGATTAGTGCTATTCCAGTTCTAATTCCCTGTGTGGTCCAAATTTTTCATATACAGTGGTACCTCAGAACTCGAACTTAATCCGTTCAGAACTCCGGATGGAATCGTAAAAAGTTCGAGTTCTGATCGAATTTTCCCCATAAGAAAAAATGGAAAACCAATTAATTGGTTCTCGGTACCAAAAAATTACACCTAAATATGTTTTCTGTAGCATTTAAACACAAAATGAACAGGATAAAACAAGAAGAGCATATACTGTACAAAACACATCTAAGCACATTTATCAAAACAGCAATTTGTAAAGTAAGAAAATAAATGTATCCAAACAATGTGTCCTGCCCCGATCGTCCGCTCTTTCCGTGTGCCACCCCCCCCTCGTTAACCCATTGTGAAATCCCCATGTGATCAGCTGTTTCTGGTTGTTGTCATTAGTCCTTTGTATTTCGTCCGCGTTTCAGTTTGTTTCCCCAGTCCGGTCATTGTATTGTCCGTCTGCGTTTTGCCTGCCTTACCTGTAATTAAACTCCGTATTCCCCGATACCCTGACGTCTGCGCCTTTGTCTCCGTTCCATCCCCACTCAGCACGACAATATTATTATAATTAAATGTATTAATGGTTTATTATTAGTATTAAAATAATTCATAAGAAATCTTTATTTTTAAATGTATTTTATTATATGATAATTAATGTTACTATCATTGTCTAAATGTATTTTTGCTGTCTAAATAAATGTATTCAGCTACTGTAAACATGCACAATGCTATCACAGCGAATTCGAGGCTGATACTGAAGCATTACCCTTTATTTCCACTGAGAGACGTGCCTCGTGACTCATTTCCCCTGACCTAAACCCAAGTTATCTTAGGTCGGCGTTCATGGTTTGAATCCTGAGATTCAGATCGAGCTCTAGGTAATTTTTTTTCTAACTGGTTGGTTCGACTTTTAAGAAATTCGAGTTCTAATGAGTTTGAGAACTGAGGTACCACTGTACCTCTGTACCACAGCGTAACTGAAACAACAGCTGTAACTCTTTAACAGGCAGCATATTATATTACATTGTTTGCTGCTAGAAGTGCTATGGATCGCTGTGCAAAGTGTGTTGAGATGGGACCCCTGTTAACTGTGTGTACCCTTCCTTGTAACAACAATTCTCAATATATAACTGTTCAGCATTATAGTATTACTCGTATAATAGGGTTGAACGATTTGGGGAAAATATCTAATCGCGATTTTTCTGACAGATTTTGGAATTACAATTTGATATTAAATATAATTTTTTATATGTAAAGCTTTAGTTCAATATTCAGTGTGCAGTAGATTTAAAATGTATGACACAGCATTACCACATGAGATGCCATCAAAATATTAACTGGTCTATATTCTAATGCAAGGATGAGAACTTAAATATATGAATTGCTTACAACATGTATTTATTACTTTAAGTTAGAGAACAATCAAGCTGAATATACATTAATATCATAATAAGACATGTTGGTTATACTATCAAGCTAAATGTGAATGATTTTTTAGGATAGTCTAATGGAAAAACATTTGTAAACGTACTTAATTGATATAAACACTTGCTGCCATGATAAGGTTGAACTTGTGATACTGTGGTATGCTGTGAAACCAGAATCTTTGGAAATACTGTGATATTGAAAGTATTGGTCATACCTACCCAGCACTAATGGGGATATTTGTGTTAGGTTTGTAAACTATGTATGTTTCAATTCTGAAACCATTATGGTGATGCTCTGCTCAGGGATTTTAGGGCTGATCACCGAATGCCAATCACTGGAATCAGAACTGGCTGAAACTGAGCTCTGGAAAAACAAGATGGCAAAATTAAGAGGCTTGCTTTAACAATGGATCTCAAATTGGATAAAATAAATGTTTTCAATATGTAACAGTAGCAACTTACTACCACAAAAAAGGGCCAGAATTTGGTGACATGCCTGTGCTTTTCCAAGAAACTAATGGGTGTGTGTGTGTGTGTATGTATATATAATATATTATTTTGCGAAATATAAGCATCTCTGCATATTTGAAGAGCGCCTGTTCCTCTTATCCATAGTTGGCAGAGCTGTACTGAACAATCACTCACTTTCCACACTCGTACACGGAAAGCGTACATAAACTCGGGCGCTCCTAAATTTCTCGTACTCCTCTCAGTGAAGACGCAAATGTTTAATGAGGTTCGTGGTGAAGGATGCTTTAGCAGATGATCCTCTGTGAGTAACTTCTTTTGCACATATGCTGCAAATTGCAAATCTTCCATCATAGTGTTTGAAACTTCGTGCACATATTTTAAGCCATCAGTGCACATATTGTACATCATCCACAAAATCATATAATATACATATTTAAGATCGGGCAAATTAAAGTCTGTGGATCAAGCAATTAAGACTGAAAATTAACTGATTTAAATCGGCTGATCAATGGGAGCATCTCTAGTCTTTGGACAATCGTGTAATTTTATCAGCAACATGGGCCCAATGGTCAAACATGGTGGTGGTAGGATCATAGTTTTCCCAATTTATTTTATTTATTATGCTTATACTAATCAGTAGATTCTGATCAGTCTTACTCTAGCAGTCTTACTACCTATGGGTTTCTTCTTGTTTTATGCCATCCCAGAAAGACTGGCTGCACGAGTATCTCACAATGTAGAGTTGCTTTCCCACTGAAGTTCAGGAATCTACTTCCTGATTCATCTTAACCAGGAACTTTTGTACTTCCTAACCACATTTGCACAACAGGCCCTGTAATTTTTATGCTAAATAAGTATTGGAGACGCAAAAAGCTCGTAGGGTTAACAAATTGTTTCTAAATGTATTGTCCCGAAGCAGGACATGGCATTTTATTTGTTTTATTTTTACTGCCTGCAACATGATTATCATTTATTATTAAATATGGGCAGCAGATCGATCTTTCGTTTTCCATAGAATTTAAAAAAAATGAATGCTATTTCTCTAGTAAATGCTGGCAAGTTTCACTGCTGGCACTGGTGATATTAGACAGAAGTATATCATTTATTGATCAAATTTTCCAATGCAGAAATCTAGAGATGGAAGCAAAAAAGGTATTCAATAATACATTTAATTTAACTCAGACATAAAAATAATTCCATCTGCTCATTTTTGCGCCACTACTTCTATCAGTTTTCCTTGCACTTTTATGTAATTTCCAACTTAACGCTGGTGGTTGTGGTCAATCAGCAAGATATCACTGTAAGCCCCACCCCAGTAGTTTGTGGTAAAATGAAAAGTACCTTGACTGGAGTAGGGTCTGAAAAAAGGTTTCAGAACTGCCTCTTTTTTAACAATCCATATTTTTTTTCCATCTGAGGTTGTCGTCAAAAGAGCTCAACAGGCTGATCATCTGAAATTTCAATGTACTGTTTTCTGTGAAAAGAGGGCTATTTAATGTTCTGGGGGAGGTCTGTAAAAGTAATGTGTATTAGACCTTCATTTCAGTGGCTGAGACAACAGTCTCTCAATTCTGTCAAAAACCAATGTTTGTTACAGGCAGAAACGACAGCTCGACCAGGAATATCCTCCCGAAGGGCTCCACGACCAAGACCCAATATATCATCTTTGAAGAAAGAGGAAACAAAAAGAATTGCAAAGATTTTTGCTTCTAAGTTTTCTGACTTGAAATAACTTTAGTTTGTTTTCCACACCAGAAAATATATTTAGTGACTGAAACCCCCCCTGCCGCCTCTGTACAGTTTGGCTAGTACATCTAAGCATCCGAGTATGGTGTGTCCGAGTATGGTGTGTAACTGTAAATGGGCTGAATTTAGTGTAAAGATTGTGGATATCTAGATTTTTATTTTGAAGTTGTACATTTTTATAAATAAATAAATTTGTGTGATTTATTTTTCACCGACATTGTATTTGTTTATTATAACTGCTACCGATGCAATGTAGCACTGTTGTGTGTTACAGAAATACCCGTTTTCTCATGATAACTTTTCTCTGTTACAGGAAACCTCTAAAACTTCTGCTTATGCAAATAATATTATTCCTGTAGCTCTGAAGTGCCAGTAGGTTGTATTTTGATTTTGGTCTCCTGTTTGTTCTGGTTTGGGAGTATTTCAAATTTAGAAGCAACTGTTAGATCAGTTTAAATTTATCTATAACAAGAGTTGCTTCTAGAATACCTATCAAAGTTTGATTCCATTACGATTATTGAGGAAAGTGTATAAAAATCTTTAATTTCTACACTGCTCAAAAAAATTAAAGGAACGCTTTGAAAACACATCAGATCTCAATGGGGGAAAAAATCATGCTGTATATCTATACTGATATGGACTGGGTAATGTGTTAGGAACGAAAGGATGCCACATCGTTTGATGGAAATGAAAATGATAAACCTACAGAGGGC